GACAGGCTGGAGGTGAAGACGACCTTCGCCAAAGCCTCCGAAGTGACTATGACGTTCGGAGCCGGGTCCTCGGTGGACTCCGCGGTAAGACCCTGAGGAGGGCGCTCGCCGTCCAATGTCGTGAAATTTTCCACCTTGCCGTCGAGGCGAAGAACGTGCAGGGTGAGCGCCTTGCCATCTTGAACGATGGACACGATGTCGCCCGGGTTGGTGCTGATTTCGCCGGAGAAGCGGTAGACGAAGCCCCTCTGCAGGATCCAATCCTCCCTGCCGGTGACGACCGTCTGGCTATCACGCTGGATGAACGTCGAAGACCACCCCTTCACGTCGTGAATGGAGATGTCGCCGCTGGAGCGGTTGGCAACAGTGGTCTCGTTGAGCAGCAATAAAGCGGCCATGATCGGTAGTTCTAGTCAGACGGGGGATGTGAGCTACGCGTCATTACAGTTTCTGCAACGTCGCTCACAAATGATAAGATTTGCTGTGATATGTAGGATGGGCTGGTTTTCGAGGGGGGCTTGAGGACGGCATACTCTCGCGTCGGCGGTCGACCTTTTATACACCCCAGCCCTCACTTGAGAACTCCATTTGGCGGAAATACGTTGGCTGAGTGAACATCATCGAGCGCAGTCACGAATGATCACCGCTGTCGTGCTAGAACAAAGAAAGTGGAGGATCCTGGGCACCGGTAGTCTGTGTGCGGGGTATGTGGGCGATGGTCGTAACGGTAGCTTGGCTCGGACGCACGTCGACCCTGAGTTGCACACCGCAGCCGCCATGGTGCAGATGACAGACACCGACATGTCGCGGGAGGCACCCTGACCGATGGAGTAAAAGCGTAATTCTTCATTAATCATGGAAGGCTTGCTAGCACGTCGGCTCGCATCTTCCTATCGACATCCGCGTATATCAATGGCTCCATTCTTTTAACGTCAGATATAGCCACGGAACTCACCAGCATACGACCTAGAACGTGACTCCACAGTTATCGTCCAGTTCAAGTCATTTGAGCGGGCTCTTGCATAGTGATTGTCAGACTGACATGCATACAGCAATATCAGCCCTCAGGCATAACACGGTGAAGCCTCGGAAGAAATTGCCTAAAATATGTGTTTCCCAAACAGTATGAAAGCCACAAAAAGAACGCAAATGACATACCGACTGCCACAGTTACGGATGACATGATGAGAGTGTCGTGATCCGAACTCGGCATTCAAGTTCAAGATCCGATATAGATCCAACCAAGTCGGGTGTCCGGCGCCTCCGATGTGGAAGATGGGAGGAGCCGCGACGTGGAAATTGGGAGAAGTCATAGAAAGCCTAACGTCAACCTAGGAGGTTCCGTGCTACTCCGATTGGGTGATTGAACTCCGGAATGTCGAATTCAGTAGTCGATGCTACACGGATCGAACATGTATGCGGAACCTCACTACCTCAGCTGGGTTGAATGGCAGAGCGTGTTGCTTCTTGCTTCTTGCGCACGTTCGGGCTATTTACTGTGAATTCAATACTTGGGGATAGCTCGTGCTGGCGGCGCTTATACCTCGGTCAACTATCCGTTCAATTTCGTGAGGGGAGACCTCAGTGGTTGGAGAAAGCTTCAAGGTCGGAGACGAGCATCGGCCGACTCACACGCGTATATCTGCATGCAATTTCCCAGCGAGGCCTGCCATACGGTCATTTACAGTGCTGATGGTGTCAGTTTGACTGAGCTCAAACTACATACTCTACATCCAAGAGTTCTCGTCGATCGTAATCCGGACAGGCGGTGGGAATCCGGAGCGGATGGGAGAAAGCCGGCAATTGTTCGTCTTCCAGCGCGATGACCGTTCCCCATGGGCATAATAGTCGAAGATCTTCAGATATTGTGAACGAGATATGCAGGGGGGGTGGTATCCTCAGAACACCATGCAGCTGTATTGTGCACGTGGGTGATACGCGGCCCCAGCACTGTGGGGAGTGCATGAGCACATAACAGCGTAGTGAGCAGCATTGACATGTTGAACTATACATACCCGAGAAGGTGCGGGATCGAATACTACTCACTCCCAAAGATCTCGAAGCAAGCCGTCACGATATGCGATGAGCGCAAGCGTCGATGAAGAA